AGTCTTCCAATTCTGCCCGGCCGCAGTCTTCCAATTCTGCCCGGCTACGAACTCCTCCAATCCTGGCCGTGCCCAACAGAACAATCCATATGCACTAGCCCAGCCGCAATTCTTCTCGTGCCCATCCAATATCCCATGCCCGGATTAGGTGGGTTTCCACCACCCCCAAACAATATGTTAGGTTTTTCTTTGTCTCAGCCTCTTATTTGGGGCATTTTGTCGAACATCTTGCAGGCTTTGCCTCCGTTTATGCTCCAAGAAAAAAACAAACCAACTAGGCAATTTTATCTGTTGATCCCACATAGAGTGAGGGCAAGTGTCTGCACTCTCGTCCCTCAATGGATCTGCCAATTATTGTCATGTGGTAAGGGAAGTCACTACCCAAGTTTTTCTCTAAATTTCTTATGAGTCCCCCAATAGCCACCACTTGCACAATTAGGCTCTCATTTTATGTGAGGAATGTGGAGAAAATGTCATTTCCAAAGCATATTTCATTTCTAAACGACTTATTTACTGTAGTGCCCCTGAAACTATGGTCAAATCTCACTTTACCCCTTAAAAGCTAAAGTGATACAAAGTACCCCCTTGACCAAGGTTTGGTGGTTCACTTTGCCCCCAACCATTACCTCTGTTAAATATTCTGTTAAAAGTATTGACATGGCACAAATGGGACCCTCCCTTTTGCTGAAATATGTACCACAAAAGCTCCATATCTGTAAAATAATAATAAACAATAATTTTTATAATTGAAAATAAAATATTTTTAAAACATATATATATATATATATCTCGCTCCATTCTTCTCAACCCATCGGCCCCTTGCCCCACTCACCCTTCTCCTCACCACCCCTTTCGTTCTGCTCCCTCCTAAAAATTCTCAACACACACACCCCTGTCCTAACACCTCTCTCCCACACACCCTCTCCTTCAATACCCCCAAATCAGAATACCCGTCATCCCCTCCCAAAATTTCTCAGCCTCTACTTTTTTATTTCTCAATTCTCACCATAAAAGCAATGAATATCATTATATTATCGTGTTTTGTAATGGATATAAAAGAATGTTCTGCATCATATGAATTTTTTTTTTTCTCACTAGACCCAAAGAGACACACAGAGAGATAGATAGACAAAGGTAGAGAAGAGAGAGAGAGAGAGAGAGAGAGAGAAGGGTTGGGCTTTGTTGTGGGTGGGCGGTTGTTTGGGTGGGGTGGGGTGGGGGAGTGGTGGTTGTCCCAAGTGGGTTAGTGGGGGAAGGGGTCCAATATAGAGAAAGAAAGAGGGAGAGAGAAGTAATTTTCTTTCTCACACGTGGCACTT